TGAAACCTTATACCAAGCATGGGAGAGGTTTAAAGAATTACAAAACTTGTGTCCACATCATGGGTATGAAACTTGGAGGTTGGTTAGTTATTTCTATGAGGATTTAACTAGTAGGGAGCGTCAATTCATAGAGATGATGTGTAATGGGGAATTTTTGCATAAGGACCCAGAAGAAGCCATAGATTATTTAAATGAGTTCGCTGAAAAAGCTCACACTTGGACAGGACCTAGTGCCACTGATAGTACTAGTAGGTCACGATCATCTGGGATTTACCACCTTAAGGAGGAAGATAACCTTAGAGCTCAATTGGAAGCTACAACTAGGGAACTTGAGACGTTAAAAATAAAAAATAATAGAGTCACCCACACAGTTGCAAGGGTAGAAGCTTAGGCTCCATGTTTTGTTTGTGGGGGATTGGATCATTTAGCTCAAGATTGCCTAACCTATGGTGAGATGAGAGGGGTGTATGAAGAACAATGTAATGCATTAGGAATGGGTAGGGAACCTTTTTCACCCTATTCAGAGACATACAATCCTAGTTGGAGGAACCATCCCAATTTCAGTTGGAAGGCTAATCAAAACCATCCCACATCATCTAGCAATACTTGGAATAGTGAAGCTCAACCACTCAAGTCTTACCTTACACCTCAATACAATGCACGACTAGATAGAAATCCTTTAGAGGAAACACTTAAGGCATTTATGGAGGCACAGACCAAGACTAACCAAAAGTTTGATTCTATTCTTACACAGGTGGTTGAAGAAAACAAGGATATCAAGAGTCAACTAACTAAGTTGACCAATGCTCTTACTATCCAAGAACGAGGTAAGATTCCATCTCAACCTCAAGCTAATCCTAAAAATTTACATTTGGTGCAGGAATCTACCTCTAATTTGGAGAACATTCAAGGGGTCAATGCAATCACTACTCGTATTGGTAAGGTTATAGAGCCATTGCAATAATCACCTAAATTGAAGGATGCTACTCCAAGTAGCCGTGAAGATGACCTGTTGGAAGAACCTGAGAAAGAGGTCCCAATTCGAGTTCCTTTCCCTCAAGCTCTTAAAACTGGAAAGATTTCAAACAACCAAGGTGAGATTTTAGAAAATTTGAAACAAGTTAAGATTAATCTACCTTTGTTGCATGTGATTAAACAGGTACCAACTTATGCCAAAGTGATCAAGGATCTATGCACCATAAAAAGGAAACACCATGTCAAGAAAACTGCATTCTTGACAAAACAGGTAAGTGCGGTAATTGAGCAAAAAATACCGCCAAAGTACAAAGATCCAGGGTGCCCAATAATTGCTTGCCAAATTGGGCCACAAGAGTTCGGTCAAGCTCTTTTGGATTTAGGAGCAAGTGTGAATTTAATGCCTTATTCAGTTTATTTGCAACTAGGTCTTGGAGAGATAAAAC